CCATTAGTTTGAAGCTACATTTTTTTCATAAGTCCGCCTGTAGCACATCTTTTCTTGGGAACATCCAATTCAATTCCTTCAATTGATTTCTAGTTCAATACGTTTTCGGCACAGGGTTAGTTTTTTGGAACTTTTGAAATCAATATTAAATAATATTCTTCACTTTTGAAATTAGTCAGAAGATCTGTGATCTTCTTTTTGACAATAAAATTCAGTGCAATCATGAATATTGCAAATCTTCTGACTCACTCTGGAAAACGTTACTTATTCCATGTGGCCACAAAATTGACGAGACCCAATCTCAGAACAGAAAGTAAATAAGTTTTCAATATCGCGTCACAGTCATACCATTGGACGCTGTCAAATCCACGCGTTTCCCCATCTTTCTAAAATTCCATTTGTCCATAACTTTAGTAGAGTGTACCTTTCACCAAGCAGGAAATAGCTGATAGTGCTGCCTACTATGTCACTGCATTCTGCCATGCTCCTTTCTTTACTGAAAACTCATAATTAGTAGATTTATTTGGAGAGATTATGTGAGCGCTGTTCATTCATATAGTATAGCAGGGTTTCCTTTTAATCCTGAGAGATTTAATTGACTGTATCGACTTTTCGAAATAGAATGTGTATCGACTCTTCATACTCCCAGCAGTTTTTCAACAGTGAAAGAGGGTTGAAAAAAATTCAAGGATTATAAATTATCTGCTCAAACTATTTACTTTTATTCAAAGACCGCAAACTAGAAAACCTTGCATCTCAACTTGCAAATAGTTATATTCAATATATTATGTGCTTCGGCTGATTCAGTTGTTCCTCGCTCTCCTTTCTTCTTGTGGGTTGCACAAAAAATTGTTTCTCAACATTTCTTTGAAATTCCAAGACCCATTTCCAAGAATTAAAAAATAATCTAAATTAATAAACCATTATTAAAACCATTACTAAACCCAATAAGGAACCAAAGTTTCAAAATAAATAGAGGGTTGCCTCTTACTGCCTGTTAGCCATGGTGATGTTGTCATTATCATAATTAAAGAGAAAAATTTTGCTATGACATCATCAGTCTGCAGCCTGACCATAGCCTTCCTCATCTATTGATATTGGTGAAATGGAACTCTGGAACATACCTAATCCATCGCTGTTAATGGAATAGCCGAAGTCTGTGGTTGGGCTGCTGAAAGAATCCTACGTTTACTATTGATGTTCAGAGAGGCCATTTCCTTATATGCAGCTTTAAATTTGAACGTGAAAACCTCTTACAAAAATAATGAAAATAAATTATAATAGGAAAAAATACAAATGGCAAATATGATATGTTTAATTCCAACAACTTACATAAGGTTTGTTACAGTAAAACTTTTCATTTTAAACATAATCAGTGTATTCGAGTATGTAAAGTTGTATGCAAGAAGAGCTTGCAGATAAGTTATGACATTTAAACTCATTTCATTTGAAATATAGATCGAATAAATGTTAATAAAATGTTGAGTTGTTGAAAATGTTAAAATGTTGAATAAATATTCCCTGCGGTTACTTCTGCACTATTGATTGGATTAGTTCGATTCTGAAACAGACCAAGGAAAAGTTAAGAATCTAAGATTAAAAATGAAAAATTGTAGACCAACCCTCTTGCAATGCATTCATTGTAATTTGTGTGATTTCACCAATGGAAAGTCTGTTTACTCGACTCTACCTCTTGCATGTCTTCGACCCATTTATTCGATTCACTTTTATCGGCAATTTACTATGCTATAATGTTGATAATAACTATTTCTGAGTTTCCTGGAAGGTGCCCAAACCAGATTTGTAAGGAAACATCTAACTCTGATTAAGCAACAAAAAATACATCAGTTTTTTTTTTTAACTTTTTACTATCTCTGTTCGCAATCATTACTTCCCATTGTGCTAACATTATTTGGTGACTTACCAATAAATGAGCATATTAATATGTTGCTCAGGAACTGATTTCTGACCTTTTTAAATATTTTTCAGATGGATCCTTCTACTCAAAAGTCTAAGATTTTACTCCCCTGACTGCATTTTCTAAGCCAAAATCGATTTACATGTGCAACCCTTGTTCTTCCCTCATTTAAATCAATGTCATTTTTTTAGAAAAAAGAAACCAATGCGGTGTATGTCTGCTCTTTACCTTGAAGGCTTAAATGTATAGGGTACTCTAGTGGGACCCTTGGACATGGGAAAATGCCAGGGGATCAAGACTTCGAAAACTTTCGGTTTCTTTGAACAAACCTAATGGACATGTTGGGCACAATACTGGTGCAATCCAAATTCAGAGTCTTCAGTTTTTTCTCTGAATCAGATGTTGCAACTTTCTGTCCGTCTGAAAATACCCCTTTCTATACTCTGCCTAATTTAACTGCAAAGACAGTAGGAAAAGACTCAAGTGGTTTCAGCGCTAACTTACCTTTAGATGATGATATACTGATGGGCGTTGATTCTCCTGAAGTCCAAAGTACAGTACGTGTAAGAATATAAAATGAAGAATATTTGATGGGACATGGTTCGCAGGAATCACAGGAAAACACATACAAAACATAAACAGAAAAAAAATCACCATTAAAATCTCATATTGAGAGGTCATTACTTCCAATAATTAACTCTTACTTTTGCTTTCTAATTGCCTGACATTTCATTTATAAGTAATCCTTCCTTGAATTTAAAACTGACTGCCAGTTCTACTGAAGAGAGGGACTTTAAAAGCTACCGGAACAATTTCTGACAACCGAAATTAGGTAAGGGAGAAACAATTTTGATGGAAATAGAGATTTGTGGATTTTACCATGTTTTACTTTCACAGGCAGCCGACTCCATTTCAGGCTCAACATTTGTCGGTTATTTCTGTGGAAATTCCAAATAAAAATTGGAGGTGGCGATTTTGCAATTTTTCGCTTTGCAGAAGTTAGAGGATGCAAGAAAAATGCGAGAATTAACCTGCTATATCCAACTTTATTATCTTTCCTTGAATAGAATTTGCAAAGACAATCCTCACAAAATGAGACGAAGCGTCAAACTGATGCCATAAAAAACCTAAAGTTACTGGAGAAAGGGAACAACACTCTTGATTTATCGTATAACAAATTAGCACTTTCTAATTGCCAAATTTGTTTCTGCTTCTTTTCATTAGTTTGTTTCCGTTATGGCTGCTTTCCTTCCTTCTTTCTTTCTTCTCTTCCTTCTACCCTCCCTCTTCTTCTTGCTTCTGCCTCTTTTCATAAAAAACCTTGAAATCTAACCATAGAGGTGTAGATGGACAATGGACATACATGCTAAAGCACTTCTTAATAATAAATGTGCATAACTACTACTGCTACATTATTTCTTGATTTATTTATTTATTTAGTTCTATTTTTTTTTCTTCATTCCTTTCTTTTTTTGCTTCCTTCTTAAAAAAAACTTTAAAAATTTTACAGGCAGCAGCAAAAAACCTTGCTTTTAAGTGCCATGTCCCAGAGAATTTTGGATCAAATGACATAATAGAAGCCTTCTTGGATTTCTAATCAAATTGTTAGGATGCCTGGTTAACTGCTTGCACATAATCTCAATTACTTTGCTATTTTGACGCTAATTTATGCATTAAGGAGAGTACTTACGCTGTCCTGCTAGGAGTGAATCATGTTGAATGGGAGGGATGGGGGAAATGTCCCCAAGCATGATTGGAACATCGTTTAACAGGTGGGGGGACGGTTGATGGGATGAGGAAGGGGACAAGTGGGGGGATGGGCGACGGGACAGGTGGGGGGATGGGC